CCTTTTACGCTTAAAACATTTTCCTCCTTGCAGGAGTTGTCAAAGCGAGTTTAAGCTGCAAAGACAAAATGCAGATTTATGTGGATGGCAATGAGGAGACTGATATAATCGACTATAAAAAAGTTGATCAGTCGAGGGTCTTTAGTTTGTCCATTTAAGCAACAGCACGACTCATCGCCATTGCAGTAGAAAGCAGTGGCGTGCCTTATATCACCGGCTCGTTCAGTGATGGCAAAGTCACCAACTCCAGCTGGAAATGTACATCAGGTGCTGAACTCGATTGGAAGAGACCAGAATTTAATCACTCACTGTGGAAAAGAGCAGTAGAGCTCAATTGTGGTAGAGAAAGAGATAGGGGATACCAAATAAATGAAATCCAGCGTCATGGCGCAAAATGGATCACAAGTGCAGATGATGGACAGCAAAATATGTATTGTAAATTGAATCGCTTCGTTTGATGCGTTCCGTAATCCCGTACCCAGATCCTACCGTGTAACTGGGACTGAAATGTAGGAAGATCTGGGCACGAGACTACGCGTTCCTAACCTTGTGAAATTAACATATCTGAATTTTTTAGCTTTGCGTAAAGATTTGAATAAAATTAGAGTATTTTTTATAATTCCTGGTGTTCCAATCTCTGAAGAGAAATAACCCTTAAAATGGGTACGCCTTTCATCGCTTTCTACTCATCCGTTGTCAAAATATGCAGTCATAGAGAACACCGGCTTCTTCTAGGAACAAGTTCAGCGGGCCTCAAATGACTGTCACCGGGGGAAACAAGGTGGAAATGTTCCATGAAGGTGGGGCCCCCCAAAAAGCCGAGGCAAACGAGAGAAAAATCATTAAAATTTTGATGGGATATGAGCAGGCATGTCCTGACCACGTGATCGCCTCTATTGTAGTGGGGACTATCGTGGCCCAGATGCCTACCACTTAGAACATTTCATGAAAATTTGTTAAGCTGCCTCGCAAAATAGCCAACGACTCGTTGTCTGATAAAGTCAAAGAATTTTAAATGAATTTGGACTGTGCATCATGAATGCATAAAACCGAAAAAGTAGGGCCCGCAATTATATCAGAATCCGAGTTCCAAACGTTCCTCACAAGGGTCATTGCGTTCGGGTATTTAGGGATTTCTTTGAAGCTGAGCCGCTGTCCCTCACTAAACTGGGAACGTAAATAGAAAATGAAATGGTCTTTCTTCATCACTGAAAGGAAAGCATCAGAATAATTTTGCCTTACATGCAGGCGTCAACCCAAAAGACCCCAGAAGTTACTCACTTTAAAATATGTAATTATTTTATTACACTCCTTTTCACTGTATACATCAACATTAAACATCCTTTTCTTATCTCTCTGAAAATCTAAAGAGGCCAGATAAAAAAGAAAACTTTTTAAACGCCATTAATGCAGTCCTAAGATGTAACTTCCTCATATAAAATGGCCAAATGCAACTAGGCGCACGATGAAAAATGTTCACGCCAACGCAGATCGATGTTGTCTTTATCTTTGAAATCATTTCGAACTCTTCCCTTTTGCCGATATTTATTGCTTCATGGCATTCTCAAGTTTTTCTGCCTTTTGTCTCAGAACTTTTGCAGCTTCAGATCCCTTGTTTTCAACGAGATCCCTAATGGTGAAGCCAAGTTCTATGGTATCCCACACTACGAATACAACATTGACTCCAATGATGACTTTACCGACAACTTTACCAACTACCTTAGAGCCCGCTTTAGCCCCTGCTTGGACTACGTCATCAGCAGCTTGTGCTCCAGTCTGACCCGTTGCTCGTAACACATCGTCAACAGATTGCAAAACTGCCTTTCCCGCTCCTTGAGCACCAGCCTGGGTTGCAGCTTTCGCACCAGCCTGACTCGCTGCCTGTGCACAGGCTATTACCTTTTCTGCTACTTGTATTACCATTTTGGTAGGTGTCCCTCCGGAGAGAAACACCAGCTCACGAAGGATCTTCAAGAACACAGGACCTCCCAACTTTAGGGTTTTGGCAAGGAAATAAATGTAGATAAGTCTTACTCTTTCTTTGGTGATCAAAATCTTTTGGACAGTCCTGTTTACCTCGTCAATACTGTCCACAGTCTCAGCCAATTTTTCTTCGGCCTTTTTCATTTCATCTGAGTTTATAAAAGAGTTGACGGCGGCTGTCCCTAACTTTGTAGCTAATCCAGCGCCTCCAAGAGACAATCCTGCTATCAACAAGGGAGAAGCAGCCCCCGCTGTCATCAATGTTGCAATTCCTCCACCGATTGAAAGGAGGCCTCCCACTATTCCAACGCCGATTCCAACAGCATGAGATATCTTGCAGTCCCTCCACACGCCGTCTAGTTTCTTAGCCACTGTACGGAGGCTCCTAATGATCTCTTTTGCGTTGGAAATCATCTCCTCTGTTTTCTTTTGAAGCTCTGTTAAATCTCTCATATCTTGCTGCTTTTCATCTTCAGTCAAAAGGTTGATCTCGTCAACGAAATACTTTAAGTCAGGGTCCGTTCTTAAACGTTCTCTCTACAATTAAACATTCAGACTATTAATTCATAAACTGTTGGGGAAAGATGACTCAGTCGTTCATTGCTAATATTGTAAGCCACTTGTGCGCGTTATTGAATGGTCAAATCATGGACAGGGACAGTGCGAGCAAATCATCTTTATCCTTGTAAATGGCGTTTTCAAAAAGTAGTACGCTTTAATAGTACTTATTCCCCCTTCTCATTTTTGGTGGCTTGTCTTTGAATTTGTACCATGAGCTCGGAAATGCACCTCTAAGACGTGCAAAGGAGAATGCAATCATTCTCATTCGCAAGTTGGAGTATGTTGACTTCACTCTTTCCCTAAGGAAAGGGCTTTTTGGTGAGTATTGCAACGTCTTTCAGAGGCTTTAATAGTTCCAATCTCCGCGCGGCGTTGGCCTATTCAAGTGGCGATCTCTGTAAGAGCAGTCGGGAGCATTTCGCATCGGAACAAAGTTTTGCTTCAAACTTTGCCCATCAAGCTATCAGCTAGCAAGCTTCTCCAGCTTTTTTAACAAATTCATATTTTTCAGGAAAGAAATACTTTTCCCAGGCCCAACTTGGGATTCCAAATATGAAATCCTGAGCATTTGTACAGCATCGGCGAGACTGTCAATGCATAGTTCTGAAATGTTCCTGTATGTCTGAATGGTCAAAGCTCTCTAAAAAGGAATAACTTTGACGAGTGTTTTTAAATGAATTACATCGAACCTCTCAATAAACACATATCAAAATTGAAATGCTTTCCAAACCCCTGAGATATCACACAACTTAGGAATATACACAATTTCTTGCTACATGCGGTTTGTTACGAGGGGCGAGCTTGTCAACTTTGAAATTTTCGATGTCGCAAGAGATCAACATTGAGCCTTTTGCAGCTTTGATTATCGTGCGCCCTAAAAATTTTATTTTAACGTATTTCCAGAAACCAATGTGGTTTTATTGCCTTACTACCAAAGATGGTTTGATGGACAGTTGAGGGAAAACTATGTTCCGATGCGAAATGCCCTCAGTTTTCGCCCCCAATTAGTCAATTTTTCAAGGAGTGTGTCTGTATGTCGTTTCATACATGTATCCTAACTGTCGGGTACGTTCTAACGGTCCTTTCGTCGTTCAATTATAAGCTAAAGATTGATAAGATACTTTTTGACTTACCTCCTCCCTGTCAGATAGACTTGACGGTTTGTTTTTGGCCATTTTATCCATTAATACTGATCCTGTGGAAGGTAAGGTAAACCTGGAAAAGCGAGTTTAGAAGAATCAGGCTTGAACTGCGATACGCTGTGTCTCTTAATCTATTTATAAGGAGCTCGGGGAGAGTACATAAGGACTTAAAATCCTTCGTTAAAAATTTTATCAGGTTCCTACGTGATCCACGGGAAAGAGGGACCCTCTGAAATGTGCACTGTTATCTAAGTGTGCCTTCGTAGCTCAGATGATAGTAATGCATGACTAGTAATTGGAAAGTACGGGTTCGAATCCCTTCGAAGCCTGATAATTATTTAAGCTTTTTTTCTTGCAGCTCAGGTGCAAAATGATCACAGTTTGTTGTTATACAGCTATCATTATTAGCAAAATGTTTGAGTATTAAATTACTAGGACGGTTTTAAGAAACGATGAATGGCCATAGTGGCACAATATTTTGGGGGAATTATCTTAAAACCAGTTACTACGATGAATAATTTACCGTTGAAGCCAGCCTGCTGGAACTGAGATTAGACAATTCCCTTATTTTCTAGAGTTCACTCTGAATTAATAAAAAAGAAAATACACAGGTGTCTTGGGAGGTAAAATGGAAGTACAAAAAATAATAAGAAGAAAAAGACAGCCTCGAAGCCAATCTTTCGAATAAAGCGGCACTACGGTTATCAATAAATTCACTCGGTTTCGTCGAATTCATTAAGTAAATATTTAGGTCGCTGGTGAGGAATCGAAGAGTAACGTGATACCCAAGAAGGGTTCCTTGGTGTTGAAAGAGTGTGAGGAATAAAAGGCACTTTGGTATTTGACAAAATATTTCTATCTATTTATGGATATAACAGTTTTTAGAGCAACTATATCAATCTCAGTTGATTACTTACGATGTTACATAGAGGAACAAAACAAAGAGCAGGATTTTCTAGCGGGAAGCAGTTCAGTTAATCAAAAACAGGTCGCAGGACAAAGCCGGCTCAAAGCTTAAAAGGCCACGCACCGTTTGAGAGGACTTGATGTGGCAAGCTTCAGATTCGCAGTGTTAGCACGACATTCCTGTTTTACTGATTGCGTTATGATTCTCTTTTTTATAATTGATAATTGGTGGAAACAGGGACTTTCCCTTTTAGAAACATTAGATCAGATGTCTTTTAGGGAAAAAATCCCTTGTACACGTAATTTTGGTTGGATCACCCCACAGAAATTCGGGTGGAAAATTACAAAACTACCGCAAAATTCGCATTTAGTTCACGCTCTTAACTCCGTCAATAGAGACAGTTTGATGTCAATAATTCTCAACCAATTCCTTGAACGTTTTCATGCTTGGACTGTCTTCCAGAAACAATTACAGATAAAAACAGATACGAAGGTTAATTTGAGTGTACAGCAAATCAATCTCAGTCCGCCGTATGATTTTCGTCTCATTTTACAAGCAAAGAGCTCGTCTTACTAATTAAAAGCCATGTCACGCACTAAAAATAACACTAATGCATTCTGAGTAATTTCCATGAATATCAGGTAATAAAACGATCAGAAGTGCCACGCTGTTTTTGGCGAAGTCCAAGAGCTACATGAAATACCATTCCCATCTACACTGAATCGACACTGCTTCTACCATTTTTATCACTTCTCAAAATTTACGAAACGGTTAACAGAATTAA